AAATTTACCTTGCAAGTTAGATATAAACAAATCCATGCACTAGGACAGCCTCTCAGATGTTTGAGGCAGCAAAAAAAAATATATATATATATCAAACGCCTGACTTCACATACACAAGGGGACAAAGCCAGAGAATGAACGGATTTAGAGCTGAATTATATTCATCACCTCTTCATAATATTTCAAGCATGACTGACAAAAAGTACGTGGAATGTAATTATACTGGTCCCCAACACATCACCTTGCACATTTAAATGATACTAATACATACTTAGTGCTTTAATGTTGGTTTATGCTCCATAAAAATATCTGATTTAAATATCAGTGAAGTTTTTGAATTATTATTGTACTGCAATTTTTAAATGTATATTTAGAGTTGATTATTCTATGACAACTTAATTTTCCATATCTTTACTTCTTCAAAGTATCATGCTAGCATGAAAATGGTGGTTGCAAAATATCTATTCGTACAAACCACTCATCACTTTACATTTGCAGGTTTCTCCCCAGTGTGCATTCTCTGATGTGCAATGATTTGACTTCCGGTTAAACAGTTGGCCACATTCTTCACTTTTTGAACATTTCACTCTTAGATGAATTCTCCAATGTTCAGCAAGTTTTGCCTTCTGCTTAAAGGCTTTGCTGAATTCTTCACATTTGTAAGTTTTTTCTTTCACATTTGTGTGAATTCAGTGACGATGAGAAAGACTTGACTGCTGGTTAAAGGCTTTCCCAAATTCTTCACATCTGTACGTTTTCTCAGCATTTTGAACTCTCTGGTGTTCAGAAAGGTGACACAGGTAGAGAAAGGCTTCACCACAGTGTGGACATGTGTAAGCCTTTTCTCCAGTATGAATCCTTACATGTTTAGTGAGCTGTGGATGCCAACAAAAGGCTTCACCACACTCTTCACTTTTGTGCCATTTCTCTCTCTGATGTTGAGTGAGTCTTGAGCACCATTTGTTAGTGTTGCCATATCCTTTACAGTTGAAGGGATTCTCCTGAAATGTGTGATGTTGAAGTAGTTTTGAGGACTTCTCAATATGATCCCAAGTAGATTTTTTTATCTTCCCATTCGCATTTCTGATGTTGAGTACTATTTGACTCAAAGTATACACCTGTCCCATATTCACAATGTACTGAGTGATTATTGTATGATGGACTATGGGACTGCCTATATGTTCTAACTGTCTTCTCAGGGAATATGTATTATTAAAAATCGGATAGAGATCTCTGCTTACAGAAACACCCTTATCTATGCAAGGAACAGAATAAAATGTGGCTTGACCCAAGACATTTCACACACATGATCTCTTCTTGTGGGAAGAGTTGTATTCTGGGTCATTGTTCCAGCTTGGCTATCTTCATTGCAACAAATGTTCTGCCATTCAATTGATCTTTGGCGTGTCTGTTCTTCCACTAATTGTAAATTCTCAAAGGCACAGATTCCATCTCCTCCCAGTTCCGTATCTGGAAGAAAATATGTGCCTGACTATGGCATGAGGATGACTCTGACTATGCCATGAGAAGAGATAACTGGAAAAAAGCAAGTGACTATTTACACACATTTACAGCACTCAAGACAAAATACATTAAATGCATATTTACAAAATTACATTAAAGCATAGGTCATATTGACATAGGTAACAGTATGACTTTGCTCTTCCTATAAAGCCAAAAGATTCTAGACAACAACACAAAAGTTTATGAAAAGGTACTGTCCTTAGGGAAAGGTAAATACAAAGAAAATATACAAAATTGCATGATATAGTCCTGTAGTAAAAATATTGATTCTGCTTGAGCATTTGGAAAGGCCACATCAAAAATACCCATGGAATTTATTCTGGAATACACGATGTAGTGAGATGTTGTGATGGCAACAATGTTGGTGTAGGGTAGGAATGTTAAAGAATTGAGTTTCGTGTGTGCAATTCAAATTACATTCTTTTCAGTCTAAAAGGTTTCATAGCTTTTCAATTTGGCACGTAATGCACATTATAACAATAAAGACACCAGGAGAACACATGGGAGGGAAATGAACATGGAGCATGATGTCCTGTGCACACAGGCTAGATGACAATACTGTACACAATAAATAGTATTATGAATCAATATACCTCACTAAGCATAAAAAATATGATGACATATTAGACAAAAATCACCAGACAAAAAAGGAGAAAGGAATAAAAGCATGTCACAGAAAGTCAAAGAAACACAGAGATGCAATCGAGAGGAAATGAGGTATGAAAAAGGCTGATCATAAAGGAAACATTTTTAAATAACAATACCTGAGTCTCCCTTTCTGTAATTAGTTTGTTCATAAATGAAAAAAAAATCCACACTGAATTGACAATGTGTCTGAATGAATAAGAAAACAATACCAATACAATCTTATCCATATCACACCCACCAAAGATTTAAGTGCACCATGAGGAATGGAAGATGGAACTATATGCTGGGAAAAGTGATAATCAAATATGGAGCTGTGTTGAACACACTAATATCAGAAGAATATAAACTGAGTCAAAACCATCACAGAATGTAAAGAAGATCACAACAATAGAAAATGACATATTTTGGGTAGTCATTAAAAAATTCCACATGCACTAACGTGAGGTCGCTGAATGTGTGCAGACCACACAGGCAGGACTGAATGCAGAAGAGGAAGACAATACAATTCCAGGAGAGGTTCCAGCCCCAACTGCGATTAGAAGGAAAATGATAATGTAAGTTCAAGAAGGTGAGTTGACCACTAGGGCCAAATTTAAATCTGAAAGCAAGATGCAGTTCACATACATGATAGAGTAGTGACAGCTAAGCTATAAAAAAGGATGAACTCAGGCTATTTGCAACAACAGGATGGAACATAGCAGGAGCATAGCTAATGTAGAAAATCAGGAGAAAGACATTTGCTGGATCGCTTCACTCCAATTTCAAATCTGGAGGGAAAAAGAAAGGAACCGACAAACCAGAACAATCTCTGGAAATATGACTGCAGAATTGTGGGTATTACAGAGGGATGGAGAGTGGGTGTGGGTACAGAGGTGGGAGGGTGTTCAAAGATCTATGGAGAAGGCCCACAAGTGCACTGGTGGTGAGTGTGGTGGTGGCAGACCTCTGACAAGATGAAACTCTATTCCCTAAATCAAGTGTTACCTCAATTCAAAAAATTAAAGAATATATTGAAAATATGGAGATGAAACAAATTTCCCAAAAACTGTGGACTCAGAAAACAATAAGATGTAAATTTCAAGCACTGACACACTAACAATAACACGGATCTTAAATTAACTCCACAACTCAAGAAACTAAAAAAGGAACAATCTAAACTCTAAATTTCCATAAAGAAGGACATTTCAAAATAAAGAAGAAATACATAACCGTTAACATGATGGCAAAAATGTTTGGGCTTCTCTATGAAGAGACGTCTGGAATTTGAAAAAAGCAATAAATTTAACAAAATGATAGTTTAATTCACTAGAAAGGAAAGGCAGAAGACCAAGAAAATCAGAAGTGAAACCCATAAAGATATTTCCTTAGTTTTTATGTCTCCTCGGCACTGGCTACAGTCATCTGTAGACATTTTCAAAGGCATGTACTTCTCTTCATGGCAGGGAGAGACCTTTCTGTCAATTCTTATTTAAATGTTATAGCACACACTGCTCAGAATGACAGCATATGCAGCAAATGCTGCCTCATCTTGCTTCCAACTTTCTCCTGGTCATCGAAGGGAAAAAAGTTCTGCATCCAGCCTTTGGTCGTCACTGTGAAAGGCTTTCTGCACATCCTTCTGACATCAACACTCCTTGGCTGCTACTGGAGTCCCTGCAATACTTGGTACCTGTTTCTACGTAATTCATAGCAGCTGAAGTTTTTATCTAGTATGTTTGTTGTACTATATCATCCTTTCACTGATGCTTTTGCTTTCTTCCAGATGACTCCCACAAGAAGGTGGAATTGCACAGATCAAACTCCTCCCAAGGTATGAGCCCCCAACCTGAAACTCTTGATTCCATGGCTTTAGAAACCACAACCTTAGGTTTCCCCTCCCATGTCAGAACATCCTGTCCCTCACTGAATGATTTCTGGGTTCTCCTCAGCCTCACAAAGGCTGACTGAAATCAGAGCAACAGACGAGACAGGAGAGGTCTGCCGTGCCATGTGTATAGCTCCCTGGCCAGTCGGGGATGGAACTCATGCTGCAGAGGCCACAGATAGCTTCACAGTGCTGTGCTTAATCCCTTGCACCACCAGGGAGGCCCACATTTTCCTTTCTCACAGCATATCACTTCAACAAAACAAAGAATACTTCCATGATTACTGTTCTTATCCCCACTCATAGATAATTTATCACTTTCAAAAACTTCCCATGAACATACTGAGTGAAAAAAAAAACAAATGTCTGGGGCCTCCCCAGTGGCACAATGGTTGAGCACTGGGTTGCAAATGTTCCCGCAGTCTCTGCAGCGTTGGTTCGATCCCCGGCTGCTCCATGGCCACTGGAGGAGGGTCTCATATGGCGCTCAAACCTCTCCTGCCGCCCGCTGCTCCCCTCAGCAGTGTACTTTGGTCCTTCTGCCTGCTCTGCTCCCCGCTCTGGCTCTGGGAAATTCTCTCACCCTCCTGTACTTCTGACTGTACCCAGTGCTTGTATAAATTAATTAATTAATTAATTAAAAAATACCTGAAGAAGTACCTTAAGGAAAACAGTCGGTTAGTATAAACTAATAGAGAGAACACAGAAAATGTGACTACTGCAGAATAATTTCCTGTAGTGTCAGTAACTGCATTATGGTGAAATCCAACATTGACAACCGTTAAAAAAAAGAGCAGGAGTAAATCTAGGAGAGAGCTTATGTGGAAACTGAATAAAGAATCACTTTGATAAATGCAGATAAACTCCAAGGTTTGGACACTGGAAAAGTAGCGCAGTGTGGCCAATATCACTGGCCACTCTCCCAGCCTCCTGCTAGCCTCCTGCCAGGCAAGCACTGACTGACCTGAGAGGTTCTGGCTTGTGGCTTCCTCCACAGTTCACGGCTGTACACCCTTCTCCAACCTGATGCTCTCCTCAGGATCGGTAACACAATGCCCTGTGATGAGGAACAGTGTTGGTTCGGTCAAGTTAAACTTCAGTTTTGAAGACTAACGAAAGCAGTGTTAAGAGCTGTGCAACGAAGGTCACCTGGAACTTTTCAGAAATAGGGCGAACACCCACAATCTAGTCTGTTTGCCATGTTCAACCTCACCACCACCCAATTTCACAAGAAAGACCACACTTAATCAGTGTAGAAAACAGCACTTGCTCTCGTGTTACACTGGAGCTTCCTCACAGAGGGACACCAGGTGACTGCAGGTCTCCAGCATCACATCCCTGTACAGGGTCCTCTGAGCATCATTCAGGTCTTCCCACTCCTGCCAGGGGAAGTTCACAGCCACATCCTCCAATGACACCATCCCCTGTGAGGGAACATTTCTCCTCATTTCAGGGCCGTCAGCCTGGGTCACACAGCAACAGTGTAAACACTCCTTCTTGTGCTCTTGTACAGGAGGCACCATCTTCCTACTCACACTGTGCTGTGAACAGAATTCTCAGGGGAAATAGTCTTACCTCTAGATTAACCCATTTGCTCCTAAAAGAACCACAATAGTTTACCATACAAATTTGGAAGTGTCTTTGAGTCTATGAATACAAGGATGAATAAAATCTTCCCCTTGAAGAGCTTATCACCTGGTTGGCAGGTAGAATAACACATACGTGGAATAACATGCTACATAGTGGTGTGAAAAGCCTGCTGAATGCAGACACGGTACAAGAGAAGAAAAACCAACACTTTGTAGTGTTGGGTTACACGTCACTGAAGACACAAACGCTTAGCTCTTCCTTGTAAATCACACTGTCATGAGGATGAGACAACAGCAGATGTCATAGAGTGAGAAAATTAAAAACACTCGCCATGATAACTGACCTGCAGAGAGCACGCTGCCAGGCAGAGTCCCCAGCAGGAAGGCAGGAGAGACAGGGAAAGTATTCTGGAACTGAAGCCAATCAGATTTATGAACTGTGGGACATGTGAGCTGAATTCACCAGAATAGAAGGATATGTGGGGTCTCCCTGGTGGCGCAAGGAGTGAAGCACCTCAGATCTGCCTTTTCTGCTCCCCACTCTGTCTCTGATGAGTCCTCTCACCCCCGCACCTCTGGCCTGTACCCACCTCTTATATTCATACATAAATAAAAACGAATCTTTTAAATAAATCAAGCTTGAAGGGGAGTTAGGTATTTGGGGGAAATATACTCACTGGGCAGCAGGCTGAGCCACACAGCAGGACTGGAGCAGACAGGCCCAGCACAGGAAGGTGAGGGGCCAACGGCCTCCCCTCTTCACCAGGTGAGTATCATGGAGGACGAAAAAGAGAGAGGGAGTTGATAGGTAAATTTCCATCTGGTAATGACCAAGAGGCTGAGCTGACCCAGCACGTGCATTAATCGGATGCAGGGGTGTGAGCCTGTGTGGACCCTGGGGAGGACACTCGTGGCTCTACAGGCACTTCTGCTACAGGAGAATTACATTTACTGGGCGCTCCTGGGAGTCAGACGGAGGGGCTCCGACAGGCGGGTGGAGGTTGCCCTTTTGTGATACTCATTTCCACGAATAAGAGAACATCCCCGTGAGGAGGCGTCCAGGTTCTCACGTTGGAAGGATTTGTCCAAATCTCTCCATCCCTCATCAGAGGGGGAGGCGGCCCCTTAGGACCGCACCACTCGCACCCTTGTAGCTGGGCTCCCCACTGCCCCCCAGGGCTGACCCCCATCCTCTGTCCTTTCTCTGGAGTTGAAGATGTCATTGCACAGGGGGCAGAGACCATGTTGGTGGGTCACTCAGTGTTCCTGGGTCTTCCCCAGGCGAGCGAGGAGGTGTCCACGTGTACTCAAGTATATTTTCTCCCACTGATGCCCTTTATTCCAGGAAGGTCTCCATGGAGAACCGCAGGGTAGATGAGATGACGTTTCCTCCCAGGATCCCGGCGCAGACCCAGAGGAGTATACAGAAGGGGAGACAGGAGGTGCTTCAGGGCAAACCCGAAGGGAAGGGTTGACCCAGGTGGGGAGTCCTCAGCACGTGCTGGGGAATCCAGGGCGAGGCCCCCCAATGAGCAGAGAGAAAAGGGACCTTAAAGGCATTACCCCAGGAGCGAGAGGAGGGAAAGCCGAGGGAGACAAGGAAAGGGAAGACGCGTGGCAGCAGCAGATGGCAGTGTTGGGGCAGACCCAGAGGCACCCTGAGACCCCAGACCCTGCGCACCCTCCACTGGCACTGCCATCTGTTGCATGTGAAGCAAACACCCCCTCACGTGAAAGCCCTGCTGTGGAAAACAAAAGGGTTGGGGTGCAAGGGAGAGGAGAAAGGACAGGGTTAAACAGTTTCCAAGGAACCAAAGCCTCCCGGGCCTGCAGGGTCAGTCCCATGACCCCTACAGTGATGACCCCAGCTTTGGGCACCGCCTGCAGCATCCTCTCTGCAAGTCCCCCCTCCAGGGGCTGTGGGGGAAGCGGACACACCTGACCTGCCCTCAGGCTACAGAATTTTTGGGGACTTGCTGTCGGGGTCTCCGCCATCTCGCATGTCTGTCCTGGAACGGACCTGCCCCAACAAGGGGCCTGAGCCACGAGGGGTCTCTGAGCCCCCCCAGCCTCTTTCATTCCTGCCCATGCTGCAGTGATCCCCAGACCCAATGCGGGGTCATCCCTGGGGCAAACACCTGCCCAAGAGAGCGGCTTCTGCACGGGAGTCTCCAGCTGGCCAGGGATGTCCACGGGAAAGCGGAAGGGGAGACCCCAGCAGGTGGCACCTCTGTGCACCCCTCCACCTGCAAGGGAGAAGAATAGCCCCCCCACATGACGCTGTGGCCCTAGATTCAGTGCAGGACAGGCCCTTGAGAAAAAGCTGGGTCAAGAACACCGGCTCCCACACCCCTGAAAGCAGGAGCTGAATCTCCCCTGCCCGGGGCTGCCCCAGGGAGAGGGGAAATCACAGGGGTCTGCAGGTCCGTCTCCCCTGCCCTGAGCTGGCGCCCCCGACCTTCCCTGGTTGCTGTCCCCCCAGAGCCTTCCCTGCCCCAAGGGTGGCGCCCACTGTGGTCCGAGGACCCACCCGGATCTCTCCCTGGAGAAAAGATGTGTGTGGGGACGGGACACCTGACGCCCCCCACTATTCGAAATTCCTTCCCGGTTCGTGCACATCACAGGGTTGGGTGGAGGCTCCTCTGCACTTACCCATCAATTTCTCTCCCAAAGGATTTTCTTCTAACGCCGCTGGGAGCAGCACTTAGAGCCCCAGCGCCATCTTCTGGCCAAGACAGAGAGAAGCTGTTTAAACAATGAGAGCGAAGGATTGACATTTTTCCAGTTAGCAGAAGTTACGGAACAGCTCTGAAGACCCATTGCTCCTCCCCACTGAACGAAGGTTTGCCCCGGTTGCCTGGCTGCTGCATGCAAGTTGGGTGAACTGCAGAGTGCCCTCAGCGAAGCGTCACCGGGCAGTGGGGCTCAAAGGGCAGACTGAATTTTCAGGGCACCCCTTCCTGCCCCCAGGGCTCTGATGGAAACTGTTTTTGAGCCACAGATCTTGGAAACAGCGAGTAGGATGGGACCAAGGCCCACGTCGGAAAACGTCTTTAAAAATCTTTTTATGGGGCCTCCCTGGTGGCGCAGGCGGTTGAGGGCCGCACCATGAAGTAATCCGCAGCCTCTGCAGCACGGGTTCAATCCCTGCAAGTCAGGGAGAAACCCACATGGTGCAGCAGACCTCTCCTGTCTCGTCCGCTGCTCCCCTCAGCAGTGTATTTCAGTCAATCTGCTGTTCTGTTCCCCACTCTCTCTGGTGGATCCTCTCACCCCCTGCATCTCTGGCCTGTACCTCAGATCATGTATGCATAAATAAATATTTAAAAAATCATTTTATGGCGCCTCCCTGGTGGGGCAAGGGTTGGGACGCAGGCTATGGGGCTGTCCACGGCCACTGCAGCGCAGGTTGGATCCCCGGCCAGGGAGACACCCAGGTGTACAGCAGACCTCTCCTGTCTCCCCGCTGCTCCCCTCAGCAGTGTATTTCAGTCAGTCTGCCTGTTCTGCTCCCCGCTCTGTCTCCGGTGAATCCTCTCACCCTCCCAAGCATCTGGCCTGTACCCCAGTTTTTGTATAAAAATAAATAAATCTTTAAAGAATAAACAAATAGATAAATAAATAAATAAAAAGGTGGACTGTGGTCCTCACTCTAACTTGACTTTAAATCTCACCCAACTTTCCTGAGAGTCTGACTAGCCTCCCAGTGATCATGCTCACAACACTGTCCCTAACTAAACTAAGAAACTAGTAGTTTTCACTGGCCTTGCGACTCTGCACACACAACAAGCCAACCCTCCCGCAGAGTTCCTGGCAATGTGCCTTACTCCAGCATTTCAGGGCTCCCTGGGTGGGTGTTGCCCTAACTAGGGACACACGGGATTTAGAACAGCTCCTCTGCTAGGAACAAATATACCACCGACATTCTTTTTAGTCTAACAGCACTCTAAAAATGGGTTGCTTCCCTGGTGAAATGTACTCTCATGTCACAACCCCAAAACTTGCTAGCTATTTTACTACTGCTCCTCTTGTTACTAAGCCTACCACACAGCGGCTGTCCCCAATGACTTTGCTACAGGGCAGGGAGAGGGGCAGCCCAGACCCCGCAAACCTGCCTGCTCTAAACAGGTTCTGCCATCCTGCTTCCTTCCTTCCTCAGTCTCCTCTGCAGCTTCTTCTCTCCCTGCTCAGCTCCACTCTCCCTTGGATGGGGCAGGGAACCTGGAACCTCCCCCTTTCCTGGGGACCCCCGTTACAACTTCACCTGTGACCGAGGGCCCTTAGTTGCTGCTGTACTTCTCATTCTCCTCTTTAAATCTTAACATACACAATCTCCTACTCAAATTTGTTTCTTCTAACCTAGGGGGAGCGCCTCAAGTTTAAACTCCTCCTCCCAACAAACAGCTCACCCGTACAAGAGGAACAGCCTGTCCAGATGCCCCACCCGTGCACTCCAGATGCACCCCTCGCCTCCTTCCAGAACCACCAACAGACAGCTCAGGGACTCGTGTCAGGGAGACCATCTCCCGGGCCCTTGGAGGTAGGGCCAGCTCTACATGCCACTCCAGCTGGAAGCAGCTACGGAAAATGGACATCCTCCCTTCAACTCCCCAAAAGATTTTGGGCTGGATATGGTCATGGGGGGATGATGGAGGACAAGAATGGAAAGACTGGAAAGGACGTGCCCCAAGGCCAAAACCTGACTCACACAAGGAGGTGGGGGTCGAGGAAATGCACACGACCATTAACCCAGCTGTGGAGGACGGACCCTCAGGCGCCAGCGCCTTGTCACGAGGCAGGAGAGGCGAGCAGGATCCGATGCTCTAGGGAGTGGGATGCAGGCCTGAGAGGAAGGATGTGGAGACAGGGCCCACCCCAGAATCTCTGGTCCCTTTCTAGTGCTGCCTGTTGCCCAACATCTGCAACAAGCAGCCGCTCCATGGAGGAGTGAGCCTCCCAAGGAGAAAGGGACTGTGGCAGGGCAGGCTCCGCACAGGCCCGGGGCAACCGTCCCCCTGCCCGCCCGTGACCACACAGGAGCCTCTTCTCACCAGCTCTCGCCTCTGTGGGGCAGCATCCTCCTGCTGGTGGCCTGTACCTGCCAGGACGTCTCCACTGATCTCCCTCAGCCGAGGCCACTCTCCTCAAGGCCACCCTCCTGCAACCGTGCAGGCCTCTCTCAGCAAACCTGTCCCCTTCCCTTTTCCTGAGAAACCAGCCCTTTAAACACAACTAACATCTTCGTCTCGTGGAGAAGCGACGTGGGAAACTCCCTGGTGCTGCTGAAACAGGGTCTGGGGAAACATTTCCCAGAGTGAACCCCAGTACCTCCACTCCAAAAACCCCATCACCCCCACTCTATTCCCCCGAGGCCCACGGAAAAAAACCCGCAGTTCTGGAAGGACACTAGGAAAGATCTCTGACACCACCTAGTGCCCAGAACAAAATCACCACCTTCCTGATAGTGGGAAGCCAGGGATCCCAAAACCACCTCAGGTGCTGAGAGGGGCTGGGCCAAGCAAACGGGGTAAGAAGAGAATCCAGGCCAGTCAACTGTAAAAGCAAAACCAATCATGAGAGCTGAAAATACATGTGGTTCTGCTGGCAGGACAATCACAGACACTGCTACTACAACTGTAATTTGATGCCACCATTAAATAAAATGCCAAATTTCAGTTAGAATTAGGGAAAATCAAGATGCATTTTACCTCTTCCCTGATTCCATACTCCCGTCTAATTGAAGGATAAAGGGCTGAGTTCAGTGAACAGGGAGTGTTCAAGGTGGGGAATCTGAGCAGGTTGGAGACCAGCTCCAGCTAGATGTCGGTGTCAGGGATCTCAGCAGGAGAGGACCGCCTTGGTGAAGTTTTTCGGAGGGCTGAGGGGAAGTGGAGCCAGGTAGGAGAGAGGAAGACACAGACACCATCTCTCGTGCAAGTACCTCCTCCTGAGGGTCTCAGCAGGTCTTTTTTTATACCTTAAGGCCAGTGGTGAGATGATATCAGTATAAGCATCAAAGCAGAACAGAGACCATCATTACATATTTTCTCATGAACATACAAAGACCCTCTTGATCTCATACTACAAAAGGACACTTCCTTAATCTGATTAAGAAAATCTACAGGGAAAATGACTCCCTTAGGTACAACTCTTTTTCTAATGTAATCCATTGTCTCACACAGTAAAATGTTTGTAAGACATTGAAGGACTAAACATAGCAAGACAGCAGCCATTTTAAGGAAAATGACCGTCTTAAAGAGCACAGCTGTCCGTTGCAGGGTAAAACCACAAGAACCACAAGGCAAGGGCGAAAACTTAAAGGTTGCCAAAGAAAGGTACACAATCAGATTGAACTTGGTCCCTGTTGTGAAAGGTCCCCTTTTTATGGTATGAAAGGTCCCCTTTTTCTGCTGTCAACAGTGTATAAAAAACAGCTTTTCACCCTTAACGGGGTCCCTCTCTCATCCTGATGAGACTGCTGTGTCAGTACACCAGGCAGATTCGGACCCTAGCTTAAGCTAGCAATAAAGCCTTTTTGCTTTTGCATCTCTGGCTCCATGTAGTTTTTGGGAACCCCAGACGGAGTTGAGGTGCCAACTCCTAAAATGTTCAGTAACAATCAATCACCCTGTCAAGCCTTCCTAATTTCCCAGTGGACATGAAAGTCCATTGTTATGCTATATTACTAAAATCAACCCATTCCCTAGTACTCAATTCCTCTAGCCCATTATCAATTACTTCAAAGTGATCTAAAGTAACTCATCAATACTGTTTAGTTCTACAGAAATCTAACTTTCAACTAGAAATACCGAACCTCCACACAACCTGCACACTGTTAACTTTTCACATACACCAGGAGATGTACTGTTGCCGCAAACAGGTACCCCCCAGGTTAGGCTATGGTTTCCAATCACAGCTGGTTCAGGGCATCTTGTTCTCCATAGTTCTCAGGGCCAAAACATTTCTTTCCTAACTATATCTTTAACAATTTTTACTTCCTTTGTGACAGTTCATGCGAAAGAACAATAAGCCAATTGTCACCTGGGTCCGAATTAGGTTTTCACAGGCCAATGAATAACTAACTTACTTCAGCATTAACTAGGAACAAAGAGGAGAGCTTCAGCAGGCTTTGCCATGGAGACTCCCTAGTTCAGATCTTCTTTGGGAGGTGCAAGAACTCCCGTCTCTGGGAAGTACAACTTTCCCTCTTCAGGGGAGCACAGGGACTCCCCGCTTTTTGAAGTCTCCCCTAATGCCCTGACAATATCAAGAGACAGCCTGAGTGGTGCAGCAGCCACAGAGCAGGCTGGGAAGGATGAGACCAAGCGATAGAATAAAGAGGGCTGCCTTCACTTCCTCATGCAAAGAGGAGGATACCAATGTACAGAAATGTCCGGAAAAACAGGTCTGAGGCCCATGTCAGAGGCCTTAGTTCCAATAAACTAAAGCAAGAAGTCATTGTAAACAGGTGGGGGACACACTTGGAGGTCACAGGCCAGCTGATGAGAGAGAAGACCCAGGAGAGGTCTGAGGACAGAGCATGGAGTCTCAGGACAGCTGAGACCAAAGACTGACACAGCTGAGGCAGGTCCACTCCTGCTGGGTTTTTCCCAGGGATGTTTTTCATAAATGCTCTGGTGCAGTGGCACACGATGAAATGTTACTTA